AGAAAGAAAAGCAAAATTCATGATTTTTATGTGCAACTTTCCAATTTTTAATCTCTGGTAACAAATTCAAAAATGGCCGTACTGAGGCCGCTGCCCGCCAGAGGCAGCTGATGTCGGACTTCTCACGATGGGTCCACCTGTCAGGCAGAAATCACCTCGCATATCTAGGTCTGCTGCAGCGCAATGCTGAGGGCTTCTTGCCACCCGTGGCACATGGCTCGCCGGCTCGCACAGGCGGGGACACTGGCCTGCGCGGCCCGGCGTTCACGGCCAGCAGCAAGGGTGCTTCCAGAGCACGTGAGCCGCAGCCCTTATTGGGGTCCCGGAGTGCACAGGTGTCATGTCAAATGGAGAGAATCACTTTTGCAATGAGGGTTTCATGAGAACACCTCAGATCTCCAAGTCAGGGCTATGATCAGCCCCTCGGAGGGGGAACAGTATTCAAACGGTGAGGGAGATCGGGAAGGAAGAAAGGAAACGCAGTGAAATGGCGTGTTAAACATCTACCACAGAAGAAAAGTTTCGTTTGTCAAAAGCATTTGAATTTCAAAGTTAAACAGTGGCATCGATTCGTAAGTCCCAGAGGTTAATAAAATTCCTCTCAACTGAACAGAATGCAAAGCCCACGGAATCATTTCAGATTCAGGTACTAACTTGACTATCAAGATCTACACAGATTGTAAAGCAAACATCAGATCATCCAGAAAAGTGAACACATTGTAACAAGCCCTGATATGACATGCATGAGACCTGCATGATCTTCACACAGATGGAGGCAAGGTCATTATTACCAGCACCCCAAAGACTGTCTCGCGCCCCAGCCCGAACTCTATTCTACTTACAGATTCATTTTTGTCCATTTTGACACCTTTTATCACTGGAATCATATAGAACGTTTGCTTTTGTGTGTGTCTCCTGCGCTCAGCACTGGAAATACATGTTGTTCGTTGCTGTATAGTACTTCCCTCCACAAACAGTCCGCTGTGGATGCATCCCCAGGCATTTCAGGCAATTACACAAGGCACAGCCGTTTACCTGTCTTTTGTGCAAATGTGCACTCACTTGTCTTTGGTAAGTGACTAAGGATAATGGGGGTTTGTAGGGTAGGCTCAGGTTTAGGGGAGAATACCAGAGCTTCCCAAAGTAGTTATACATATGGCTATCTTCCAGACTCAGACCATCCAACAATCTCTCTCTCCCTCTCCCTCCCTCTCCCTCTCTTTTGCTCCCTCTCCCTCTCTCTCATTCCCTCTCCCTCTCTCTCATTCCCTCTCCCTCTCTCTCACTTCCTCTCCCTCTCCTCTCCCTCTCCCTCTCCCTTTCTCCAGCCCTTCAGCTGTTTGCTAAAGCTGATCATGTACCCCGAGCCTCTGTTCTCCAAGGTAAACAGTCCAATTCTTTCCACCAGACTTTATGTAACAAGGTTTAAATTGGCACTGTCATTCACTGAGATTCTCCTGAAGTGCACCGACTTGTCTCGATGGTTTTTAAAGTGTAGAGTCCAGAAATAAATGCAGTGACCCAGCTGTGGGCTTTCTGATTCCAGTGAAAGAAATCTGTCACCTTTTCTGCTCTAACCTCTTGTAACATTCCCACATCACTGGCTCCCAGTTGATAAGCTTGTGATTTGGTTCCAGGGCAGGATTAATGATTAAGCATCATTCTGAGAGACACAGTCCCTACCCCAGCCAGTGCAGTTGTCTCAGAGAATTTTCTTGATCCTTTTGGAGTCCTGTATCTACCTGCCATTCAATGCCATGGATCACAGGCTCTCCACCAGCCAGGGGGTAGAAGAGCAGCCTTCAAGTTGACTTCGACACATCACTAAGCACAGCCAGTTGTGAGCTCTCCATAACCCCGATTAACTGATCAATTTCTAGTCTCTCTTCTTTGGGAAGGATGGTGCGGTCCCTTGAGAGTATGGACTACACCCTGCACGTCTCTCGCCACGTGTTTCAGTCATCTGCTTTACACTCCCAACCACAAATGGGCACAAAGCTAGGGTCCTCCCCCCAGCACCCCCTATGCACAGTGGTTGGTCTCCAGGCACCTGAGGCTATTTAATCAGAGGCAAAACTGAGGGCTTCATGGGAACTCTCCTGTCCATAGGGTTTAGAGATGAGTAGTAAGCAAAAACTTCCTCTGTGCACAAAAACTACCCTGAAAGAAACCATGCCAAAGAGAAGACAAAAGAATGGAGAGAGACTGAGCTACACAAATATCATTTAAAGATCCTGGATCAAACACGTCCTGAAGCCCAATCTACCTTAGAACTTATGGATGCCATTACTTCCCAAATTCCTATCTTGCGTAAAACCATTTTGGGTTGGGTTTCTATCAGTGAGAAAAAAAAAACAAAATTTTCTAATTTTCCTCACAGACACCCCAAGAAGGCATGGGGCACCTCGAACCCCTTGTCAATTTCTCTTCCTCACTGATGTTCCAATCTGCGACACAGCATTGTAGTTTAAAACACCAGCTGTCAAGTTCAATCCAGGCCCCACTATGACTGACTGGACCTGGGGCAGATGCCTGAAGCTACCCTGAGACTCCCTCCTCATCTGAACCTACTTCATAAGGTTACTGTGGCATATTAAAGTCCTCAGTGCAATGCCTGCATTATTGTTGTTATTACCACTATGATGATTCCAAGTCTAGTTATATTATCAAAAATCAGTATTCTCCTGTATTGAAGCTGTGCTAGTACTGGATGCACTTGGCCTTCGTGTATAAAGGCTCTTTCCTTATCCCAGGAAGAATGTCTCCTTATATCTCTTCAAGAAGCAACTGCACCTCACCTTCCCCCTCTGCTCCCTTTGCCAACATCACTCATCGGCGGCCACGGCATAATTTACTGTCCAGCGCACAGAGGAAGCTACAGGACCCCAGAGAATGAAGGGCAGGAAAGTGACCGGGGTGTGGCACTCACCCAGCCTTACCACAGGCACAGACTTCCACCTGGTATTTAGATTCAGCTGAGCTAACTCGGGGCAAATCTTGGAGAGTGAAGTGGAACTCCTAATTAAAAGGTAGCCTTGAGCTGTCAATAAAATTATGCATAAAGGAAATGTTTAAAAACACAGTAGTGACTTTCTTGAGACAGATTTTCATTTGAGATTTTTTTTTAACTCAAGTGTGGGGATAAATAAAAAGAAAGTATACTCTTCAACACTGTCGTTCCTTCCCTCCCCGAAGCTTAGAAAATCATCTTTGATTCGCAAAACATCACACCGCATTTAAAATTGCTGGCTGGAAGAATGGCAAGTCTGGTCTTTTCTACGGATTTCTGGAAAGCCCCAGGGAGGAGCATTTGTTTTGAGTTGTTTGGAGCAGCCAACGCCTTGGTTCAAGCATTCCTGCAACACACTAACGCAGAGCAGGAACACTGACCGCCCTTCGCAGCCAGCCCAGCCTGGGTGCTGCCTCCAGCACCCTGCCACCTCCACATCACAGTGGACGCTGACAGCGGACGCTGTTGGGAACCTCATCTCTCACCTCCTCTTCCTGCGAAGGTCCAGGCCTTTCTCACCGCATTCACGCAGCCCCGGGTTTACAGATATCGCTCCACCCACCGCCAGCAACAATTACAACAAAAATGTGGAAGGTGTGAATCCACCAGTGAATGGAAGGATGCAGGAAACACCAGGCTCCATGAAGAGCTACATGACCCCTCCAGGGCCTGACCTTTTCCTGCCACTGTCACAGTGAGAGACGGCACAGCTGGCACTTGACATGTTGATGCCTCCATCACAACGACGCACGCACACCCTGTCCCAGTTTGCTTTTACCTTTCTGGAATTGCTGACCCCTCCCCAGCCCCCAAAGACCTGGAGAACCCAGCAGCTGTTTCCCTGGAGTCCTCTCTCCATCAGCAGGGCTAGAGGTTCTCCCCAGAGTTCCTGGATGGCTGAGGCTCCCCTCCTCCCCTCCCCTTTCAGGGACACTTCCATTCTTACCTTCGAAGCTCCCAGCAAACAGGTAAACCCAGGTGATGGCTGGGATGCAGAGAAGGGTCAAAGAGGCAGCCAGGAACTTCCGTCTCCCTCTGCAGATTCCCAGCATCCTCTCAGCGGTGGCCACCTCTACTCGCAGTGCCGTTTCTCTGGCCCGGGCGTCAAGTCCTCGGCCTCCCTCATAATACTCTCTGAAAGGAAGAGCAAAGAGGAACGGCTGAGCGCTTAGCACTGTGAGTATATGCAAACTGCATATACTCAAGAGATAATGATGGCATCTGTAGTCCAGTGAAAACCAGACGGCTCCCTAAAAAATAAATAAGGATGCGCCCTCCCTGGTGGCTCAGCAGGTTAAAGCGCAGCACTGCAAGCTGGCTGCAGCTGCCTCAATGTGAGTTTGATCCCCCACCCCAGAGGTGACCCACAAGGCGCGGCAGACCTCGCCTGGCCCGCCCGCTGCTCCCCTCAGCAGTGTACTTTGTTGTCTGAACTAAGACACCTGCTAAAGAAGCATTTTTTAGACCCTTTTAGGGAAGAAGCCCTAACCAGGTGCTGTGCTTTCAAAAAATGGCTAGAAGACGGTCACTCCGAGGGACACAGGTGAAGAAGAGAAACTAACGTAAAACATCCACAGTAATTGGCATAAAGTGACCAATGGGATTTGCATGGATCCTCATGGAAGGATGTATGAGGATGTCGAGTGGCCACGTGCGGTCAAGATGGTGAAGCAGTCCCCCAAGTTCCAGGCAGAGAGATGTTGGGGTGATGGGCAGTAGGTACAAAGAAGAGACCGGACAGCCAGTGTCATGTGCAGAAGACACCCATCTTATCACAGAGGAAAACCTAAAAACGCTCAACAGGAACTGTCTTAATAGTTTCAACTGCTGATAGGAAAGACGTCCAGAAAAGCCTGGAAACCACTCAACCATGCACAGAGTGAGAGACACGCGGTAACCTGCCACCAGCCAGCAGAGGGGCTATGCTCAGACCACAATAGAAAACTGGTCGAGACAGGTCAATGCAGATAGAGGAGAGACCCTGTCATTCTTTCACTTGGGGTATTTGACCAGGAGGAAGTCCTGTGACTTATAAAAGAACTAAATAACCAACAGACCATGAGATCTCATCTCCACCCACCTCCTAATATAGATGTCACACAGGCTGCAATTAGAGAAGTAGCAGGAAGCCCACTTCCCCGTCACACCAGCACCCCCCTCACCTCCCACTGCAGACAGCCTACGAGGCACTGACTTCCCAAAGACCAAATGTCCATGAAGTGACTGGTTGGGGTGTCCCTTTGGATAGTAACACATTGAGTCCTGCTCTCTGTGAGAGTCTGGGAGAAATGTCTTCCCTGCCCTGGTGTTTCTATCCAGTTCATCTTGCATTCCCTCAGACACCTGCAGGTGCTAGATAATTTCCTGCTGAATAGATAATGGGATGAAATTCAGGGGTCTGTGTTCAGCAAGTCGCCAACCATCAACTCCTAATGGAGCTGATCTCAACTATCAACCCTGGCTTCTACAGCCAATTTGACACAATTGTCTAAATGGCCCTCTTTTGTAACAGATGAAAGACCACAGGGCTGGGGGGTGTGGCCAAGAAAATAAAAGCAAAAAAAAAAAAAAAAAAAAAAAAAAAAATCCCTTTAAACAAAGAATTGTTGACTTGAAAAAAGCCCCCCTTAGGGTAGTTTTGCTTTGGAAGCATGGATGCAAACTCTGCCTACAAACTCTGCCACTCACTAAGAATGAGAGTCAGCAGGGAGTGGGATCCCTGAGGAGGGACTGTCTGTGCCATCAGACAATCTGGATTCAGACTCAGATCCCACAGCTGTAACCGTGGCCAATCCCATCTCCGGGAACATCATTGTGTTCTATAACAGGAAGCCACACTCTGGTTGGAGGGCTGCTGGAAGAGTCCTTGAGCGGTCAGATTAGCAAAGGTTCACCCACCACATGGCAAAGGTGATCCTCCATCCATTTTACAGATGAGAAAACCAAGGCCTGGAGAGGTTGAGTAACTGGCCAGAAGTCACACTCACAGGCGTGAGCGGCAGACAGTGCCGAGGTACGCTCTCTTCAGTGAGCTAATGGACTCCCACTACCTTTCCCATAAGCATCGTCCTTTCTGCCATCTAACTTAAATTCTTAATATTGAATCTTATGACTTTTCTTGCTCAGGGTCAAATATAACTGTTTACTCTCATTCTTAAAAAAAAAAAGACAATTATAATTTGAAAGCTATAGATGAATACAGACTTTAGGAGAAATATATGGAATATATATGGAACTGAATTCAAATATCATTAATATTTAAATAGCACTAAGAAATCTCTCCAGAAGACTTATTTTCTACCTTTCCTCACTCCATCTGCAGAAGTTCATTTCAACTGGCACAATTTGTACCAAGTTTTAAAACAGAGTCCAGAGTGGTTTGCATTTTATGATAACACTGGCATCTGAAATTAAACCCAGCAGGTAAAAAATATTCCTTCATAGATTTGACTTTTAAATGACACCCCTGTGCACTAAAAGCACATTTTAAAGAAAGAAATCTCAATTTCTATCAAAAGTTACTTCAGGAAGTCAATACAAGAATCAACACAAGAAGAAAGGAAGAAACAGGAGGTGGGCTGGAAATTACACCCTAGCATGCTCAAATGTCTGCATTAACTAGGAAAACCAGTCCCTAACCTGCTCCTGGCTAGTGGAGGAGACACAAGGCCGTCTGTCAACTCAGAGATCTAAGTATGGTGTCTAAATGCACCTTTCTCAACACTAACATCCAGTTCCAATGTAAGCCCTTTAGTTGATCCTACTAAAGATATAATCCCTAAGTCTCCTCCCATCTGTCTTCACCAATGAAATTTACATTGATGAGAAATTACAGTAAACATGTTGTGAATTTGGGCAGGACCCACCCACCCTTGGGTTAGCAGGCAAGAGAGCAAAGCCATCTTCACAGGCTTCCTTCAGCAGACAGAAATCAAGTCAGTCTTTGCAGATTAGGGAACGAAAGAAGATTTAGCAAGGAGGACCCCGCCTGCAGGGCATTGTTTTGAAAGGGAGAGATTAAATCATACCTTGCCTTCCTCTGGCATCAGCATATCTGTAGGGGGAGAACAAAGTGGAAGAAGAAAGCCTACCAATCAAGAAGAATTACACTAATAACTTCAAGGATGCCTGTTCCTACCTAGGTGAACTAAATTCAAGCCTCTGTTTATCAGAACAGCTGACAGACTAAAACCTGTGGAACCGCTCTCAGGGTTTGAATCCTCATTCTATTTAATGAACTCTTTGTCTAACTATCATTGAGACTTTATTTTCAGTTAGTGTTATCATGAAGTGTTAAAAGCCACAAAAGCAGAATTCAAAGCTAAAGTAAAAGGTGGCTGCAATTCAGAGCAATGTGATAAATGATACATAGTATAAATATCTACAAATCTATAGAGATGCAAAAAAGGCTTCAGTGTTGAAAGCCATCTCTGGTTAGGCGATATAGATAATTACAATACATATGTATTTTTCATAGATTTTATACAGGGAGTATGCATGGCTATTATAATTTTAAAATATTTAAAAGCTTGAAACATTATGTCTTCTTGTTATACTGTTTGAAATTCAAAATACCTCAAAGCAGACAATGTAGTAGTAGAAGTGCCTTAGCTTTACTTTAAATACTAGGACCTGGGAATGAACAACAGGAGAGTGTTGATGGTAACGCACCCTGAAGGGGTGGCTGGTTGCCATTTGAAAACCTCTAGTCAGAATTTCCTATTTCAAACTCCATGATCAACAACACCAGAGGCCAGCTTTTAATTAGTATCATGGAAGTTAAAATTGATTTTTCATGGATGTTCAAGATGTAAGAATTTTCTAGAAACACTGCACAAGAAGAAGGAATGAAAATTGAAGGGACCTCCAAAGCACAAAGACGGGGAAAACGTAAAAAATCCTAACCCTCTCGAACCACTTAAGACCCAAACTTGCCCTACGAGCAAATAACAGGTCTGAGGCAGTGATTCTAAGAGTTAGAACTTAACAGGGGGGTCCCTAGGAAAAGGGGAAGTTCCAGGTTCCCTGCCCTACCCAGAAGGAGGGTGGAGCTGAGCAGAGAAAAAGGAGAGAAGAGAAGGAATGAGGAGAGAGAAGAGAAGGAGGCAGGATGGAGAAGGAGGAGACCTGAGGAAGCCACATGGAGCAGCAAGCATGTGGTGAAGAAACCGTGCTTGTTTACTGACCCTGGGCTGGTGAAGGCAGTTGTGGGTGAGAGACCTGTAGGGAGGTGACTATGGCAGTATTTATACTGACTTTGATTTTGCTCTTTTCCTCCCAGACTTGTCTGGACATTTCTGACCCTTTTCCATGGGTCCCAGCCAGAAGGTGCTTTAGTCTTGTGGCAGCTTTCAGGCCTTGCTTTGGGCCAATCCCTTTTGGGTAGACTTTTGCCCACGAGGGGATGGGTCACTTCAGGTGTTTGATTTAGAAGTTATATTCTTTGTGTTCTGTATTGTATATTTACTGTGTTAAAGTTCCTTTTCATTAAAGTTTTATATGTTTTGTCTTGACGCGGTGGATAGCAGAACCCACTTAGAGCAGGCAGGTTTGGGGCTTCAAGGGTGCCCTCTCCCCCTGTCCTGTAACAAGAAGACGGGCCTACTCCTCCACTCACACACCACAGCTACCTGAGGTTTCCCTGGCAGCGCTCTCTTGTATTTATGAGGCAAAACCAAGTCCTGCAGAGAGGGACTCCCGCACGGGGGTTCACTCCCACCCCAAGTGACTATCCTGCGAGATGTACCTCCTCTCTGGACCTGCCTAGGTGCCTCTTTGGAGCTTCTGTAGCAAACACTGGCCAGGAGGCCTCCTCCCTTTCCTTTTAAACCTCAAGGGCGTCAACAGAAAGCTTATTGAAACAATTCCAGAGTGACTGCGGTACCTAATTGTTGAGGTTCTACTATTCATTCACCCATCCATTCATCCATCCATTCATCCTTTCACCCACCCATCCATTCACTTATTGACCCATCCATCCATCTACTAATTCATTCATTCACTCATCCATTCATTTAGTGAGTGTCACCTTAAATAGCTTACATACAATAACGCAACTGCGCTTTTGCCCATGTAGAAATTAAAATCTAGTGGGCAAGGCAGCCACTAAACAAGTAATCAATCCACTAATTGTG